CGAAACCAAAACAGTGTCATCAAAAATAAATTGGCCACTTGAGGTTTCACTAGAATATGTCATGGTGGTTTGTGGTCATGTTTATCAAAATCATGCTGAAGGAGACTCCTAGGTAGTTAATATGAATTCTTTATATATAGTGGTGGGAAATCTGACATGGAACGTGATTGTTGCTGGTGTGGAGGGAGCCAGGCCAGATAGTTGTGGTAGTTCTTCTTGGCTGAAAACGTAGAAATCTGATTTACCGTCTTAGTTCCCTTTTTTAAGAGCCTTTGAGAAGGAAAGTTTCCAACATGGTTCTCAATGCGGTCATATCATTTACAGCTCTGCATTAAGAGAAGGATTATAATTACATCTCAGGCTTCATCCAGGTCACTTTCTGAGGCCAAGAATAAGTTGTGGCTGTGTGTGTTCTAGAAGTTCTGTTTTTATGTTTCTCTGAAGCATCAGATTTAGGAAAGAGAACCCTGAATGCAGCAGAACAGCACTCCAAGTAGTACAAAGAATCGCTTTGCCAAGGTACCTGTCTGGTGTCTTTCATACAAGTCATGCTGATCATCAGCTTTAGACTGGGAGAAAAATTTCCCTCAGCTCTGACTGGTCTTCAGATATTTCCAGCAAGGTTCATGTGATGAGGATAATCTGGGTATGCTTTCTCTAGTCCTTGCTTATTCAGGGACCTCAAGCGCTGATACTTCATCAGTGTTTTTTGCCGTTCTGCCTTTGTCATACCAGTAGATCTTCTGAAAGGCTTTGGTGGAGTATAGGGCAAAATGTAACGGCCTGTGATGTGTGAGAGATTGAGCAGGTGATCCTGTGTTCCCATCCGACCTTGCACTCCTAGACAATTGGAAGATGATTGCTGAGTTCTTTGAGACTACAAGTGCCATGGTTTCTCTTAAGAGTATGTTTGTGGTGACTGAAGTTGTGAGAGGAAATTGTCCATTTTAAAGGACAAACAGAGCGAAGGCGAACTACTTATTTAGATACAGTCATTCTGGACTTGTAAATTCTGAATGTGCTGTTGACAATAGAAGCAGTACCTTCTAAAATAGTGTAATACTAGTTACAGAAACTCTCTCTAGCATTGTGGAAATTACCATTTTGTTAGTTGTAATATAGGACACAATATACCCAGAAATTGTTATGTGCATGAAAGAGGTTTTTCTGAAAGCTTATTGAAATTAAGGGGGGAGGAGAATCTTGAGTCAGATGAAAATTGAAAACTGTAATTTCTTAAGTCAGCATCTTTCATTATAATTGGTAATGAAATGTCAGAAAATCAATGCATCATTTTTTACTGTGACAAAAATTCCCATCTTTAATTATGTTCTGAGTCTAAGGTAGGAATGTTAATTTTTCTGTAGTCAGCAGCTGCAATAATAATTAATAACAATCCAGCTAACATTGGCCATCTGCCCACATTAGTGTTAAAAAAAAAACACCCCCCCCCAGCCCCAAACCCCAACTGGGTTTTTTTTTGTTTTTTTTTTTTTTTTTTTTTTGTAAGGAGTTCTGTACTGTAGTGCCAATTATTTAGACTGGAGTATTTTATATAACATGGATCCTATTAAAAGATTGGGTTTTTTCCCCCCAATAAAACTCTAAAATACCACTTTGAAATTTATCCTCATTTGTTTATTTTGTCTCGGATACGTTTGCCTGAAATATGATCAGATGCTATATAAGATGATGATCAGGATTCCTCAGTGCTATCTATGTGTGTTACATTGTTAAACTTGGTATTAGGGAATTTTCAGAACGCAACTAACCAATTGAAGGTGATGCATTTACAGTTCGATTCTGTATGTTTTTAGTCTGTGTCAGTGTTTAGGGCCTTTTGTTCTGATCCTAAGGAAGATTTGCAAGCACTTTACCTTAAAGTGAGTGTTGCCGTCACTGGTATTGGCAGAACTACTCGTAAGCTTTTCCAACTGAAGAAGAAATTCTCAAAATTGAGCCATACTGGGTCGTTGTGTCTGTGCTGAAGGGAGAGTATTCCTTTATTCATTGTGGAATCAGAAAGGCTTGAAACAGAAATTGTTCCAGTGCCTTGCTTTAGAATGGGCCCCAAGTGGATCAAAAGACCGTTATAACTGTCTTTATAGATGTGTGGATAAAACTAGAGAACAGTATCTGTTAATGGTTGATGCAGACCATGTCACTTTAATGTGGGGGATCTTCTGAAGTTCTTCCACTGTGCAAAAGCCATCTGTTGGCTTGACACGGTCTCTTTCTGTTCAGAACATTCAAACACTGCCATAGTTAGATCAGCAGAGCATGTTTCTGAAAGCCCATAATTATATTTAAATGATAGCGTTGAAGAGACAGCAGAGTAAACATGTTGTTATGCAATCAACCACAAAACATCCAAAAAAGCTATCCTACGGTTTTAGAATGTGAGTCTGCTTACCATTTAGTTGGATTTAATTTTTTTTTTCTCCTTTCTTCGTTTTCTTTTTTTCTTTTACTGCTCTGCATAGATGCCTGGCCATCCCCCATCCCTTTCCTCTGTGGAAAATCCACAAGCAACCGAAAGTCAAACCTGACCGAAGCACTTTGTTCCTAATGGATTGATGTAAAAGCTGGAGGCTTGCACTAATGGTCCTCCTTTGGATACAGAGAGCTAATTTGAGCCGCTAGGACCATTTGGCCTTTAACACATTTTACCTTAATGTAAAAATGGTTTGTGCAATGTAGATGACCCTTTCTGATGATTAATTGCTTGAATTCCTTGGCCTTGTATAGTTGCCTTTTATATAAGACATCAGTGTGGATAAACCCTTGTGCGCTGACTGCAGACTTGTCCCCAGAGAGCATGTTCAGAGGCTACTGCACTCCAAGGGTTAGCGTTGTTAATAACAAGGGCTTTTGCTTTATCTATCCAGGAGGCAATTTGTTAATCAAAGCAGAGTAATCTAAGTAACCTCCCTGCATCTTTGCAGTTTTCAGTACTGTGAGGTCCAATGAAAATATTAATTTAAGATTGTTGTTGTTGTTAAGGTATGGACACTATGTAGAAGGGACAGGCTCAGTTCTGCAGACAGCAGTAGATGTACAGGTAAGAATGTATAGACTAATATATGAGCATGGCTTGTTTTAAAACAAGGTTTTTTTCTGTCTTCTGCTTTGTTTTGAATATTGTAACAAAAAAGCTTTTGAAACTACATTTTATGGCCACTGAGTTTCCAGTTGATTTACTTACATTCCTAAGCAACAGTTTATTTAAATCAAGATTATATGTGTGCCTCTCTCTGTGAAGAATATGAATTACTATTATTTTATTATCTGTGGTGTCATACAGAGGTTTCATAGGTGTATGTGAAAACATTAAAAATGAATAATTCTGTGGATAAACTACAGTACAGTGTTGTGAATCTAGGGCCATTTCTTTTGTACACAGATGATCCAGTAAATATTGTCAAATGTTTAACAAGTTTGAATTTCAAAAGTGTTATTTATCTGGGAAGACATATTATGTTGAAAAGTTCTACTGTCCATACTAAGTTCACCACAAAGTGGTATTTTGGCATTGGGGAGGGTAAAAATAAATGTGTGAGTCATCATTAAAATATACTTTTCACAAAGCCTGTTTTGTACACAAGCACCTCCTCTTGCACTTCAGTGCTGTTCACTAATATTATATGGCATTTCTAAGCATAAGAAGAATGCAGCTTTGGAATTTAGAATAATCTCAAAGTGAATGTATTAAAACAGCTGCATCCGTACGGCTGAATTTGTGTGGATGCTCTGCTGTGGAGTTATATAAAGTCGCTATCCTGTCATTAACAAATGTTTGTAGTCCTTTGATTGCCTCATTACGTATTGGTATAGCTTATATCTGGAGGAAGAAATGATGAATGCCCTCATGGCAACATTGATTTCTTTCTTGCGAGTCCATGTGTTGAGATACTGGCTGCAAAAATACACCACCAATCATACTTTAAGGCAAAACATGCTATTGTCTTTGGCAGTGTGATAAGCAAGGAAACGTTCTGTCAAGATGCGAGTGTTAAATTTTACATATTTGTTCTGCATCGGTGATACCTGTTGTTTCGGATGTTCTTCATAGCTTGAATCAGTGTTTAAACACATGGAGGAGTTACCAGAAGAAGAGAAGCTTATGAAATTGTCGACACTAAAACTGAGGTACTTCACCCCAAGAGAAATAGCAAATCTTCATGGATTTCCTCAGGAATTTGGTAAGTGTTGCAAAGTACCCACTTTTGCATCATTCTTCAGAAATGCCAACGTAATTTTTTTACTGGGGACTAATCCATGCTTTTTATTTTGCTTTTTTTTTTTTTTTTGGACTGGTCAATTCTTATGCTTGATTTTTGTTACTTGGCTCACTCTGGATTTCCATTAGTTTTTTATATTTTGTAAGAGCCAGTTTCTGTGGTTAGGTTTATCTTCATAAACTAAGAGAAAAATTTTGGCATGAGTAGTGCTCTATTACTGAATGGCAATGAAGGAATATCTTTGTTTAAAGTTGAAACTATTTACCCTGCAGCCAACAGTACTCACAACTGTGATAAGTCAACACATCCTGCCAGTTTAGAAGGTCTGTTAGCGGTTCTCAGTGTTTGAGCTGCTAGCTTTCCCCCTTGTACACATTTGCAGCTGCTGACAGAAAGGGAATTTCGAAAGATACAGATACTTCTTTGTTCAGGACTAACCAAACTCTTCAGTTAATGATCTTTTAAGTCATCTCTGTTTTCTAGAAAAAGCAGTCCTAGCACTTGTTCAGTTACTTCATTTTCTAACTGTTTTTGTGGAGAAGAGGGAGTCAAGGAAAAAGACTCAGCAATACCAGTACATTTGACACAGATCAACCAGAATTAAGCCCGAAATAAATTCACCAGAGTTCCCCTTGTAAAGAAAGGCAGCAAGAAAGTGTAGCTGTTACTCCCTGCTAAGGAGCTTGGCCTGCTGCCATCACATCAGATCAATTTATTGTCTCTCAACAACACAAGCATCCGTGGAATAAGATACCACTGACCTTGAGTAGTTCGTTGTACTTTTCTTTGGCTTCCTCCGTGACTTAGAGTTCTGAAGAGTGCTAACAGTTTTTATGTATTTCTTTCTTTCGCAGTTTTGGTTTATTTTCTCATTTATTAATTAGTTATATTCAAAATTACTACATTCAAAGAACATTATCAAGGTTGCAAAATGAAACATGAGAGCTGCCATCACTAAACTTAGTGATCACTAAACTTACTTGTTCAAGAGTATTTGCAGGAGCGTGCCATATGTGGTGTTTTTTCATAGCCTCTCTTGTGTAATAGATTTTTTCTTTTTGCAGACAGCCTTTTTCTTAGCACAGCTCTGTTCTGTATTGACGTAGGCTGATGTAAAGAACCTTGAGCTAAACAGAGCTGGATTTGGCTTGTATAGATTTGTCATGCTGTTCAAGGTCTATTTTGAGCACAGAATTGCCCATTATCTCTTTCTTTTTTTTTTTTTTTTTTTTTTTTTTTTTCCAAAATACAGCTTAATGTTTGGAAGACTCTTAATTTAGGGTGATCAGTTTGCAAAACCTGACCTTTACTGTTTCAGAGTCCTTGGAGTGATACCATGCTTTCTCTGTTCGGAGCTCATCTTCAGGGACAGCTGTGAGCTTCAATATTTTTGCAAATCAGAACTGAACTCTCAAAAGAAGTCAGGCTTCTGAATTTGAGGAGCATCCAGATCATCACCCCTATGAAGTGCTCCTGGGAACTGTGAAGGGAGGGACAGGGACAGATTCCACCTCTCGGAGAGCAGTACCCTTCTGTCTTAATAATGGGACTTTACAGTTCTTGCAGTTCCTTGCCTCTTTGTATTACTTTTCCAACTTCCACAACACATAAAACAAGCCTCTCTCACCCAGTGGCTTCCTCTCGCATACACTCCTGATTCATAGGCAGAACAAGCTTTTCGCAGTGCGCTGAGTCACAAGTCTGACATTTTTTTCCTTTGTGTTTAATCTAAGACATTTTCCACTTTGTACTTTAAAAAAAAAAAAGTGTTGGCTCTAGGCTGATCAAAATCTTTGGTGAATTTAGGTACCGTGAGTTTCTTTTGAGGATTTGCAAGCTATGTTTTTTTTTGTTTGTTTGTTTGTTTGTTTTTTTTTGGAAGGTTGATGTATTTATGGCTACAGCAAAGGGTGTTTCCCTGACAGCATTTCTCCCATGTTAAATTTGAAGTCATTATCGTGAAACGTGGTATTTTCAGAGAGAAATGTGCTATAATTTTCTGCTCTTGTGTTCTGTAGTGACAGCAACATTTGGGCTGAAATTTTCAATAACAGAGAGCTTGGAGATGTACCCACTGCAAATGTGGAGTTGGTCCAAGAAGCTAGAGAAAACTATAAGCTGAAAATGGAGTGAAGAGAATGCTGCGGAGCTTTGTGACAGACGCTGTTACTAGCTGCAGCTACAGTAGTGTCAGAAGAAACATGATTGTGTCTAAATGGTTCTATATTGTAACAGATTGACGGCCTTTTCCAATATATGAGGTCCAGAGTTAAAATCATTGTTCTTTCTTAACATTAACAGATTTATTTGTGCTTTTAACATCTAAATGTATAAATAGTAATTGCATTATAGGTCAATGAAATACTGCAGTCATTTGTCTTAGTCGCTACTATGGGTCCCACAGCAATATCATTAAAAGTGATCAGAGCATTCTTGCACCTGAGGCTTGCTTTCAAGAGGGTGATGTCAGGCTGCCATTTCCACTTTTCCTGCTAGTGATGTATGTAAGCTATTGGGAAACAACCGACAGCCTAGCGGAAAGCCGGCACAATGTGGTAGCACATGCTGCCAAGACTGCAACATCATCAAGTAGCATGCATGGCCTGAATGATACGGTGAGAGCTTTGCAGCAAGTGGCAGCGTACTATGAGTTGTTCAATCTGTCGTTCTGATGTAGGCTACTCTTGAGCCAGGAAGACAGAGGTGCAAGATAACGTTAACAGGCAGATGGAGGAGGCTTGGGATGAAGGAAACAGTGAGCCCTGAAAATTAATTCAGGCTTTCAGTTGCTAAGAGGGAGAAGGAGAAACTCTGAATTTTTCAGGGTTCAGATAAGCCTTTTGGGCTATAAGTGCACGTGCATGTGTGCGTGTGTGCATAAATATGTATTTATTTTTATGTACTCTTTTAAAATGTGTATATTCTGTACTATATTCAGTAATTTATTGCGAAGACTCCATCTAAGGAAGCATGTGTGGGAGTGCAAGTGATTGTTCCAAAGAAGAACGGTTGCCGAAACGTGAGTGCCAGGAAGCTGGGCAGAGTGGATGGAGCTGGCAGAAGAGGTGTTTTCCAAAGCGGTCCACATTTGAGGCATTAATAACTGGCAGGGGAGGATGGAACAGCTCCTCCCGGATATCTCCTCCTCAGCTTTCCACCCTTGGCTCAGCAACTGTCCAACGATGTTCTGTCCTGAGCTCTCCCTGGAAGAGGATTTTTTCTGAAGTGCTGTGAAAATTTCAGAACATATATATCACCACTTGCACGCACAGTGTTTTTATACATCAAAGCTAATCTGCGTGGTGATGACCTTGGGCTCAAAGTTAGGTGTTTCTTCTTATGGAATGATCAAATAATTGAATGTGATCAAGTTTCAGCAGCTTAGCAAATGACCCCAACAGTTGAGTCACCACTGCTGTTGATCTTTCTCTCAGGTTGAAGCAAGTGTGCTTTAGCTCACAGCTGGAGAGAGCTAAGAGTGCAAGCAAGGACAGTTACAGCAGACCAGCTCTGGCAACTTCTTCGTTTGCAGAAGCTTGGTCAGCTTTGACTGTGCACTCAGTGCCCAACACAGCCCTTTCACAATACCCAGACCAGTTTAATATTTGCTGGGCCTCCCGTCTTTTTGCCAGTCCATGCACTTACCATGTGAAGGACATTTTCTGATGCTGTCTGTGTTGCTGAGTGCATTTGATAGGGTCAGCATTGAATTACGTGGATAATTGTTCAGCTGCTTGATCACTCACTGATTAAGCCTTGCTCGTAGCTTAGTCTGTACTGGTAGTGTATTGAACTGTGAGGCTTGTTTGATTTGCTTCAGCTGGTTACAGGGGCTTAGACTGGAAGTACAATATAAAGCTTATTGAGAAATGCAGTTTAGTCCATCTGCAGGATCATCATATTTTCTGTCTGCTGTCGCCACGTTCATCTGTGGACGTTCTCTAGAGTGGCGGTTGTGCAGTGTTTAGATGCTGCTGCCCCTCACTGAGACTCCTGGATGTTTTAAGCTATATGAAGAGAAGGTAGGTCAGCATGAGTTACACGATAGAGCAATGTTTTGAGGCTTCTTACTAAACGTTAGAGATGGCAGTACTGCTATTGGAAGAACTGATCCAAATCCAGTGACCTGGTTGGGAATTACTTGTCTAACTTTGTGAATTTTAGGGGGAGGGAGGGTGAACCCTGCTGCAGTTTGTGATAACTGCATGAAGAACTGTTCACTGGAAAAAAGAAAAAAAGTAGTCTAAAAGCTAGGAGCAAACCAGGCTAATGATGTTGCACTGTATGTTTGTGTTTCAGGCTTTCCTGACAAAGTAACAATAAAGCAATGCTACCGTCTTCTGGGAAACAGCCTCAACGTACATGTGGTGGCAAGATTGATCTCCATTCTACTTGGATAATTTAGAACCTGAATCTGATGAGTACGGACTGGTGACAGAAAATACTTCCATCTGTCAAGAGAAGGCTGATGGCAGCTGAACAAGAATCGTAGCTTACCAAAATATCTGTCCAAACATTTTGCTGAAGAGTTCTAATATATTTTTAATACCTTGCTTTTATGGTGGATTTGCACTGTAGCAGTGTTTTTATTTAAATGAAAGTTTCCAGGACTTAATTTCTTCATTTAAATGTCCTTTTTAGTTTGCAAAATGAATAAGATCAGCATTACATATACCTCAGTAAAAATGGATAAGACTACTTCATCTTAAAGCTGTCTTCTCAGGATGGTATAAAAAGGCTGTAAATGTCAAAGCTGTTTTAGTGAAGTGCAGAGACCAAGTTCTACATGTAAAATGTCTTAATCTGTAAATATCAGTGATACATTCTTAAAAGATGTATTGTACATATGATCTGAAATTTTGATGTGTTTTTTGTAGCTAATGCAACTATTAAGTTCAGTATTTTGTATAGTGTTTTTAAGAAGACACAGTGTCATCCTTAGTTTATGGCTGTCTCATCCTTTCTAAATACTTGTAGGTTTCTGGAACCCAACTGTATCTGCTTGGAATGATTTGTTTAGGTGCAGCTGAATAAACATTATTCAAGATTATCACAACTCTGACAATAACATGCCTGTTTCTGCTCTCACTACATTATTCAGGGTAAGATCATTGCTCCTTAACAAAGACCTACACGTAAAAGACATAAAAAAATTTGAAAGCTCCATGTCTAGGTTCCTGTGGCATAAGAACTGGATAAAAAAAATATGGGAGGCTTCTGAAGTTTCAATCACAAAACTTGATAGTAGTACTAGGGCTGGGAATATATGTTGGGTCATCCAGAGTGCCACAGTTGTACACCATCTCATAGAGCTGGACTGAATTTTTTTTTAATCCTCAAGTCTTGCGAGTTTAGTATCTCTGAAACAATAGAGAAAATGATGAGAAAGCTGAAAGCTGTCTAAACAAGAACATGTTTGGGCTGTTATTTTTTCTTACAGGTAGTACTATATTGGTATCTAGAGAAAAAACAGCTTGAGGGAGCAAAAGGCAAGATGATATACAGTAAGCATCCATTAGGGAGCTGGTCATAAAGCTGAAGGACTTTGTGGATTGATCATCGTTCCTGTGCACCAAAGCAGTAATTTGTCAAAGCTGGCAATCCTGACAAAGATGGATTTCCCTCCCCTCCCCTCCCCCTCTGTGGGATGACGTAGGTATGGTCATAGCATGTTGCACCTAGGCTTGGTAATGCAGAAGAAACTAAACACTGCAGAGAACAGAGCTGCTGTGGAGATGCTGCAGCTATTCTGATCTGCCGTAGTCCTGGAAAAGAAAATGAGCTTGGTGGTGGTGTTTTGTGCCAAACTTTATCTTGTGCTGACTCCCTGTGTATTTCTTCTTCAGTCTTGATTTGCATACTGCTTCCGGACTGTTAAACCAGGAAAAGCTTGGGCTGACCTACTTCAGCCTGTCTTAATCCCCAGGAAGGTTTGGACTGCTTGGCTTGTTCAAGCTATAAAAGAGAAATGAATTCTCCTGGAAGAGCTCTTGACTAGGCTCCAGAGAGGTGTGAGGTTGGCCTCCATCTTCACCTGGTCTCTTGTACTACTGTAATCCCAAAGAAGTACCTGACTAGTGTTAGGCTGTGCCTACTACTAAGCTGCGAAGAGCAAGTGTGGTTTTGACAGTAAGGAGTCAGTAATCTGTTTACCTGGTGGTTATTGTGTAGATCTATCAGGCGGATCAATAACTAGTAGCTATATGGTCTTGTTCTTGGTAATGGGAAGACATGTTGCTATCTAACGCAATCCAAACATTCAAATGGAGATAAAGGAGATCGATGTTACGTATAAACTGGGATTTATTTCTGCTGAATCATGTAAATAGTCTGTTAATTTTGCCTCACTATAACAATATTTGGCCAAATATTACTATTAACAATTAGTTTTCAGTTCCTTGATGCGTATGCATTTTAATGATTTGTATGCTACCCATAAGCAAGAAGTATTAAAGTGTAAGTTGAAAGTTATCTAACTGCATATGAAACTAATATAGCAATGCAACGTTACATGTTGACGGTAAATTTTAAATCAGTGTGATGGTGAGGAATGAAATCTGTTTGCAAATCAGAGCTGTTTCTGAAAGAGATATTTTGAAAGAACAGATTTCAGAGTTGTAATTATATATTTGTGTATTTTACCCCCGCACTGTAATATCAGAGCGCTGTAACATCAGTGCAGCTAAATTGAGCTACAGTTTCTTATCTAATCTGTTTGTCATTAGTAGACTCATTTACTGAGCTCTGTTGGGTTGCACCTGCTTGGCCTTGTTTGGTGATTACGTTGCCTGCTTTTCTGAGCAGTCTCCTGTTCGGAAGGGCTGTGCAGCCCACACCAGTGCTGCACTTTGCAACTTCAGCCTAAGCATTTTCAGACCAATGAAATGTGATTACAAAAGCAGCTGAAAGGTAGATGAGTGAAAGCTGGAAGACAGCTCTGGAAATGGAAGGAGGTTTCCAGAATCTGATTTTTGGCTTTGTAGCTCATTTTGCACACCTGAAATACATCTCATTGTCTGAGTGAGAGGTGAAGCTTTAGAAGCTCCACTGAGGAAAATTATGTCATATTTGGTGGTGTCATATTTATGCAGTCATTTTTGAAGCTTACGGGTTGCCTTACAGAATGTCTTACCTACAGAAGCTTGGTTTTATCTAAGTTAATCTAGGGATTCCATGTACTCATGAAGAAACCTGCGTAGCAGTGAAGTTACTAAAATACCGTTTGTTTAATGCAGTGGGTTTGAATATTTTTTGATACACGAACTCAAAATTGTAGTGTGGAGGTGCAGGCTTCCACACAGTCAATGTAAGGCTCCTGCCACAGGCATTTTTGTCTTGCCTTCTGCTGACGAGTATCAGGATTGTCGGCAATCGCTGTGTTACAGGCTGGAAAGCCATTGATCTGGGATAACGCTGTTGTGTGTCTTAAACCTCGTCGCGGGTAAGCCCATTTTGTTTTATAAAGAGCCATCTCAATAGAAATCTGAGCAGGTCCAATGCTTCGGTGACTGTACAATTCTGTTTTAGCAGTTGTCATGTTTCTAAAATAATTAGAAAACTTAGCAAATATTTGTTACCTCTCAAGGGTGAATTCCAGTAACCATTTTCCTTTTGCCTGTGCAAACATGAGTATTCTAGTGTTACAACCTCATTAAGGGAAGTTTATGTTTGTTTAGTAACAACTTGTTTGAGTAGATAACTGATATCCAAGACACCAGGGCAAATGAAATATTGAATAGTGATAGTATGTCAATTTAAATGTTGTGAAGAGCATGAAGAGATTTGTGTTACTTTTATCTTTAGTTAGTTACAAGGTTTGGGGAATTTGTGTAGCTATTGAAGAAAAAAAGATATGTGGCCTTAGATGACCAGGCAGCCCTCTGGAAGGCAAGACAACGGGGTTGTTCTCTTTGGCTTTCCTCCACCTGGTGCTTTTGACAGCGGGAAGAAGCACGGACAAGGGATCTTTCGGTAAGAGCTCTGATGAATCAAGAAGTCAGAGGGGCTAAAATTGAGTGGAATACACCCGTTCTAGTGAGAGAGGGCTGTTGGAGGGATGTACAGGTGGCTGCTCTGATTGGGTGCCCTTCACTGGGCAGCAGGGAAGTCCCCGAAATCTCCAGTGGGGAGCCTCTCTGCTTTCAAACACAGGAACGCATCCTGAAATGCCAGCTTCCTTGAGAGCATGTTTGGCTTGTGCTTTTGTCCATGCTCTGGGCTGTTGCAATTCAAACATTTTTAAATTACAAGCTGGCATTTGGAAGCAAAGCACACTGATGGTGCTAATGTATTTTCTTATACCTAGAGAATAAGAAATAGTTTTGATTAGTTTGAATGTTTGCCTTATATATATTTTAAAAAACAAACTAATCATATTCTGTTTGTAATACCATACTCAAGAATGGGATTTTACTCAGAATTAATATTTCTGAATGGCATTTTGACTGTACATGGATCATACTTACCATGTGGCATTATTCATTGTACATGTGTTGTAAGGTGAGGCATGGCGAAGGGTTCAGGAGAAGACTGGATGGGTTTATGGACGAAAAATCCTTTGAGAGTACTGGCAGACTTCTGGCTGACAAAGTTCCCAGGCTGCGAATAAATGGAGGCCAGGAGAGTGCGTAGGAGAGGTATTGTGTGTGCTTTCCCTGTCGTGTACCTTTCCTTTCCTAGCTGCTCTTGGCCACTGCTGGAGACAGGATACTGGCCTAGATGGATCTTTCTCTAACCCAGTATGATTGCTCTCACTTCCTTATATTTGTATGGTGACAGAATGCCAATATGTGTAATCAGAGCATTAATACACAGCAAATGATTTATGAACTTAGCTCGGATCTAAGCCTCTCGATAAAGCCAACAGTACAGAACAGAACAAATCTGAGGGAGGTTGTGCGGTCAGGTCCATCCATGGCTTTAGGGTTATTAGTGGAGAAGGGTGACTATGCAGATGAACATCCCTAAAAATAACTCTAGTGTACATTAAAGCGATTGGAATGTGCTAAAAGGACTGGAATAATCAATAGAAATGAGCAAAGCCGATGTAACTGACTGGAAACTTTTCATGAATGTAATTTCAAAAAAGAATGAAACAGAAAATAGGAAGCATCTAAGTGATCGGTGGTTTGTAGAAACGACATGTAGGAATTAAAATCAGAAAGACAGGAACTCAAATATGAGTCTCTTAATGAAACTAAAAAACTGGTATGTGTTATAAGTGCCTTCGTTGTGATGAAGGAACCCAGGGAGAGTTAGGACAGTAGATCAATTCCAGCCGAAGGAGCTAACTAATTCAAAACACATCTCTCTTGTTTGCTATTAAAAACTGAAAACATAGGTTTCCTGGCCAGTTAGATTAACTTCATCAGCAGGTAACTTATTAACTTCATCAACTATGGTGAGAGAGCAAAATCTTAAGCAGTTGTCAGAGGTCAGTATGGTGAGACGTAAAAGAAATCCCTAAGGAGTGGCATGGGAAACGGAGCCTTGCAGCTGCTGCAGCCCCTGGGGAGGGTCCTGAAGCTGTAAAGCTCTCCGGAGACAAGTAAAGAGAAGGAAGGAAGCGATGATG